GTGGCAAGTTGGAGGTCCACAAAAGGAAACGTTCAATTAAATCTTGGACCTTACTCATGACCCTTAAAAAAAAAAAAAAAAAATCAAGTCCACAAAAAGGACCCATACAACAGAAGTAACTGGCCCATGGACTATAAAGGGCAATTAACCCTTTATTTTTTAAAAAAAAAGGATCAAGTCCACAAAAAGGACCCATGCAACAAAAGTAAAAGGGCTCATGAAAAAGCCGTCAACCCAAAAAAAAAAAAAAACAAGAAAAAAAAAAGAGGCTAGGGACCAAAGCAAAGAAATAATTCCATCCAAGACCTAAAGATCATTCAGATAAAAGTGCCAAATTGTCGTGACTCGCACAGTTAAGAAAATTCACTTGTGCAAGTCACGAGGGGCATTTGTTGGCACATAAATTTTAAACCAAATTTATATTTAAATTTCAAATACAATCAATGACACATATAGAGCCTACGATAAGATTGTTGTAGGCAATCACTTCCCAAAATGATTAACTTGCTCCGTTGAAGTGTATAAATAAAACAACGTTGTATCTTAACGACGTTATTCAAGATGCTCGAATGACACGTAGAGCCTACGAAAGATGACACTTGTAGAGCCTACAGCAAGGACACCACGCAGGATGAAACCCCAAAGATCAATTCGGTTAATCAGATATACGATTAATTAGATAGCGCTATTATTCAATATTTAAATGGCGCTATCATTCAATTTGAAATTCAAATTGAAGATGAAGCATTCCTATCACCTGATGGCCCTCCATAAATATGAGGACCATCACACAAGACGGGGAAGGAGAAAATCAGAAGGGAAAAGATTAGAGAGAGAGAGAAAGAAATTGAGAGCTAAAGAAGTCATTACAAAAAAGAAGAAGAGAAGCCTAGAGAACTGAAGAGCCTACGCTAATGGCGATGAATAGGTAAAGGGTTCCAAACCCAAGAGTTGTATTTTTGCATTCGAGGGTTCAAAACCCATAATAATTTCAATAAAATATTTCTTTTTTTTAAAATTGTCTTTTGTTGTTTATTTTGTTCTTCATTAATCGGAGGTTTCATTTGTATAAAATGTGTAATTAACGATCTGAAATACAGATCGGAAATAAGAACCTGCTATTCAAATAATCAACACTGTTTAGTCAAAAAAACTAAACAGTGGACATTTGTAACATAAAATTTTGAAATGTGTTGAAATACTTCATGTTTTAAAATTTGTGTCTACACAACACAAACAACTTCTTTCAGCCCTAGTTTCCAAAACTTAGCAAGGAGAACTATGAAAATTGGAGTATTCAAATGCAAGTCCTACTAGCCTCACAAGATTTGTGGGAGTTAGCGGATTGAGGATATGACGAGCCAGCTACTCTCGAAGATGAAGGAAATTTAAATGAAGCTCAGAAGACGGCATTAAAAGATTCAAGGAGGAAAGATAAAAAGGCCTTGTTTCTACTTTACCAAGGCATTGATGAGTCAAACTTTGAGAAGATTTCAGCAGCAGCAACCTCTAAAGAGGCATGGAGTATTCTTTGCAATTCACATCGTGGAATTGAGAAGACGATCAGAGTTCGACTCCAAGTGTTACGTGGCGAATTCGAGACCACTATTCATTCTATTATATTTCTTACCTACATGTACTGTTTTGTCCACTATTCATTCTTGCTTATATTTGTGTTCGTATTCATGCAACTATTGATTGTTTGTTGTTATAGCAACATATGAGTCTTAATTTATTGCTTAAACCTGCAGGTCTCCATTATTTATTGATGTTTTCATTTGATTCATTGCTTTATTGGTTGATATATTTTCCATTTCGAATAAGATGGCCCCATGCCTTGTACCATGATCACACAACTACAAGAGGTAGTGGTCATATAGTCTTAAATGCTCATGCTTCCTTCCTTAGAGTTATTTTCCTTGCAAAAGATGATTGAATCTGCTTCTTTTGTAGTTATTGCATAAGCTTTTGGTTTTTTGGTTAATTTGTAGATGGAGCAAAGTTCAACTGTATAGTTCTTGCCAAAGTCCAAGGTATTGTTTCATCTTCTTCACTTATTCTATCTTCTATTTCTTCATTTCTGACAAAATATTAAGCTACTCTAGATGAGACCTTCATTATGCATGATGTGAAAGAGAAACTGTGCTTTGTTCCTCTCAATGTTGTGCGCTATTTGCAGATTGCAACCATTTAGTATGAATATAGTTCTTGTCCAGTTGATTTGCTTGGGGTTTTGTTATTGTGTGGTGAATTGTGAAATTTGTCTAGGATCTTTAGGATATTTTCAAATGTGTAGAATTACAAAACTGACTTCAATGTGTTTGTAACTCTTTCCTTTTTTGATATGTAATCAAATGTATAATATGTTGGTACTGACTATATGTTTGGGATTTCTATTTGAGGCTCCTGAATCTATTTTAGTATATTTTCCGAAAAATATAGAGAAGACCATTATAGTCCTCAACTAATCATAAATCCTAAACCCTCATTGTTATGCTTGTTGTCATGTATATGTTAAGTTCTAAGGTTTTCTTTTATATTATTTAGCATGCCATAGCTCTTAACACAAGGTGTTGTGGTTAGTTTCATAATTCATAAAATTCTGAGTTTTGGATTTTGTCTTTTTCACCTAATTTATGTGTTTGATGACCCTCACCCTGTTCTCTATTTTTCTGTTTGACTATTTTGGTATCTTCCACTTTCATGGATTTGTATTTCTTTGTTTCAAGCCTATGTTCGCAAGATGGATTTGAAAAGAGATTTGTGGAGGAAAATGGAAAGGGAATAAAATTCGCATTTCATTTACTTTTGCGAAAATGGAAAGGGAATAAAATTCACATTTCATTTACTTTTGTGTCTTCGATTTTTGTTTCTTCACGGATAAAGAGACAGTCCTCTGTGCCTTGGGACTTGCTACCAGATTATAAAAAAAATAAAAAATCTTGCACAGATCTATATCACTTTATTGTTTGGTGTGTAGAATATTTTTCTCTATATAGTTTTGTGTCTGCTTTATGTATTGAATTTCTAACTTTTATGTCTTGGCCGATTATAACATGCTTTAATTTCTGTGACTGGATTAGTTGTTTGGTCTCTCTTGTAGTCACTCTTTGCAAGCTGGATAGATATTTAGAAAGGTATGTTTGCCATTATCATTCATTATTTGCTCTTTAAATATGCATGTTAGAAATGTTCTAGAGTATTGAGTACATGTTCTGAGCAAAGTACCCTGTTTGTAGGCCCAATGCTACATATATTTAGGTACTTGACCTATCCTTTTAGTAGTGATTGTCCCTATGACTTATTTTTCTGGAGCTCTATTTTGCAATTGGGAAACATTTAAGATGACATTGGACGGTAATGTGGCTTCAAAGTGATTAGTATTAACCATTTTAATGTGCTTTTATGTATTTGTTAACCATTGTATGTACCTGATAATTCTCTTCTCAACACTGTCATCGCATAATTGGTTAGACTAATCACCAAGTCTTGCTCATATAAGAATGTCATCTTGCTATTTCACTGATATTTATCATTGTCAATTTAACTTAAAAGATTATGCCTTATGTCCTCATATTTAAAAATTTGGTTGGACTGTTATTGAATTTTTATTTTGACAAGTGTGTAAATTTAATGTGAGGTCACAAAATTGAGATGACAAAGATTAGTCAAAATTTTCATTTGGAACTAAAATTCTCATTTACAAAAGTTTATTCCTTGGTTATGTTTTATTCAATGAAGCACGGACACGGACACGCGACACGACACGGACACGACACGCGACACGCAAAAACGTAAATTTTCAAAAAATAGGGGACACGACGCGTTGGGGACACGCTCAATATATATAATTAATTTTATTTATTATATGTCATAAAATTATTTAAAAAAATCAAATAAAGATAATAAAATATACAAAATAACACTTAAAATTATAAAAAATAAACATTTAATTGATTTAACATCATATATATCATTCACAATTAACATAAAATTGCATTCCATCAAGACATAACATGTCATTCGAAGCTACCAACCATCATTTGTTACAAAATGCATGAAAATCAAACCACAAAATATAAAATTATCCAATGTACCAACAACTATTACAAAATCCATAAATATCAAAAAATGTAAACCTAAGTAGAGGAAACTATTACAACATCTTCACCACTGCCTCCATCTTCTCCGTCATCTGTAAATAGGACCGCCTCCATAGCCAGTTCATCAAGTGAGAGGTTAGCTATCCCCAGCATTCCAATATCATCAAGTGAGTCAAAGTTATCTCCGGCAATGTCCCACATTTTTGTCTCTCCTTGCAAGTATTGGGAGCTCTTCCTTGATAAAAGACGAAGATTGCTATGAATGAACACCAAATCCTTTGCACGTTGAGGGACCATCTTGTTCCTTCTCACTGAGTGAATAAAGGAGTAAGTACTCCAATTTCTCTCACAACAAGATGAAGAGGCAGGTTGCACAAGCAATCTCAAAGCTAGTTTTTGAAGAGATGGTGCATATGCACCATATGCACACCACCAAGTATAAGGATCCATGTGCCACCTATTATGAATGGAATCATACTCTGAGAATGCTTCAACATAACCCGAAAATTTTCCAAACTCAGTTATCACCTTGGTTCACTCCGTGATATCTTCAAAATACCTCTTAAAACACTTGTTCCTCTCACGTGTCACCTCTTCATCCGTATGTGGAGGAACTCTATTTTGATCCTCATGGAGCCACTCATCACTATAATACCTACAATCCAAAATAAGAAAAATAATTATTTCAATAAAGACTAGATAAGTCTATTAAAATGAAATATCTTAAACAAATTTAAATGTGGTACTTACTTTGGATTCAATGAATGTGCCATACAATGGAAAGGAGTATTGTTTTTATTCCAACGATCCACGAGAATTTGATGCACCACATTGTAAAATGTAGATTCCTCATCTATTCTTTTCCCTTCATGCCTATATATTGTCACCTTCGCTTTCTCTATCATTGAGTCCCACATATCATATATTAAGTGAAGGCAAGGTTTGTCCGTATCACAAGCCCTAAGCATGTCATATATAGGACCCGTGAAGGAAAGAATATAATCAATGTAGTCCCACCACACATCATCCAAAATCTTTTCTTTTACAAATTTTGCCTTCCCAACATCATCCTCTCTATAGCAATTCCACTTGTCGCTAATTACCATTGCTTGAAGACCACGTTTTATAAGCTTTAACCTCTTGAGCATAACAATTGTGGAGGTAAATCGTGTTTCGGCAACCGAAAGCAACTTCAATGACACAAATTCATTGTACATAGCCAATCGCATCGAGTGATTAGAGATAAAATTCTTAATCATCAAACCATCTCCGGCAATATCACTAATCCAACTACACTCTTCGTATGTGACTTCATTCCTCTCAATATTCTTTGCGGCACAAATATTTTTCAAAGCTAGATTTAATGTGTGCACCACACAAGGAGTCCATAGAATATGAGGGAATTGAGCTTCAATGAGTTGTCTTGCTGCCTTACAATTAGGAGGATTATTCGTGATGACTTGAACCACATTACTTGGCCCAACCTCATTAATCACTTCTTTCATCAAATTTGCAATGAAATATTTGTCTTTAGTTTCTCCAGAACAATCAACTGCTTTAATGAACATAGGCCCACTTTCACTCACTGCCATAAAATTAATCAAAGGCCTCCTTTGAGAATCACTCCAACCATCACTAACAATGCTCACCCCTTTTTAAAATTCAAGTAATGTGCAGAAAAAAGTGCGATGAGGAGCGGAAGTTAGCGCGACAACATGCATGCAAAATGCAAGTAATGTGCAGAAAACAGTGCGATGAGATGCGAAAGATAGCGTGACAAAATGCATGCTAAATGCAAGTAATGGTCACAGCGCAAAATATCGCGATGCGCAAGATAGCGCGATAAAATGCATGCCAAATGCAAGTAATGGTTACACTAATAAGTATTTTTTAAGATTAAAAGGGTAACCCCCCCCCCCCCGAGTAGAACATCCTAGCAATTTCAAAATGCAATTGTTCTCTATCCTTCAAGTTGAATGCTTTCTCAATAGCACTCCCACTCCCAGGCGCACTCCCACTCCCACTCTCACTTCCACTTGCACATGTTCTCCTCTTCTTTGATTCATAAGCACAACTACTACCCACTGATACAGTGGAAGGAGGCAATGGTACATTTTTGGGAAGAGCATTTTTAATTTGCAGTTCTGCAGCAGCATTCTCATTTTGCAGTTGTGAAAGTTTTTGACTTGTCACTTTCTTACAAGCACCAATTCCCTTTCCTGGGAGTTTTAACAACTGTGCCCTTACTCTTGTATATGAACCTTTGAAAGTATTATTACAAAAATTACATTGTAATTGGCAATTTCCTCCTCCTTCCCCAGGTTTTGCTAATTTAGTTATATACTTCCACAATGGTTTGTTCTCATCAAAATCATTATCAGGTATATCATTAGAACTACCACCCGTAGCCATTGTTTCAGAATTAAAAATTGGTTCCTATAATAAAATTAATAAACATACATTATTAAAATTAAACACTCAAATAATAGAAAAGAAAAAATAAAATCAGAATATAAAAAAAAAAAAGAAAATTAAATTGAAATCAGAATAAAAGAAAAAAAAAAGAAAAAAATAAAATTAAAATCAGAATAAAAGAAAAAAAAATAAAATACACCCAATTAAAATAAAAGAAAGAGAGAGAGAAAGAGCGACTGAGGGATATCAGAAGGAAGATCAGAGGGAAAAATAAAATAAAAGAAAAAAAAATTAGAAGGAAGATCGACTGAGGCATGAAGAGGCTGAGAGAGAGAGAGAGAGAGAGAGAGAAAGCGACTGAGGGAAATAGAAGAGCGACGATCGCAGATCGAAGAGAGATGAAGAAGAAGAGGCGTACCTTAACAACGAATGGCGAGAGACGACTGACGAGGAGCGACGATCAACGAGGACAGAAGACGAACGACGATTGACGAAGTCAGGTCCTCTCTTTCTCACCCTTTCTCTGCTGTTTCTTTTCTATTCAAAGTAGATTTGAAGTAGATTAGGGCATATTTTGATCTGTTTTTGTTTATTTACAAATCGACCCCAAGAAAATTTAGTAAATTCTGAAATAGCCCCCGAACGTGTCCCAAACGTGTCTATAACGTGTCCTGAACGTGTCCAGATGTAAAAAAATAAAAAAATAAAAAAAATGGGACACTCTCTGCTACGTGTCGGACACGTGTCCACGGCGTGTCCGATGCGTGTTCGTGTCCGACACGTGTCGGACACTGGTACGGAGCCCTCAGAGAGGTGTCTGTGCTTCATAGGTTTTATTCTTTCTTGAAAAAATAATCAAAAAGTCCTATTTTGTTTTTTAATAATACCATTGAAAAATATATGAATTGACCACTGTATTATTTTCTGTGACTATTGATGGAATTTTAATAAAATTTTGCCCTTTTGGATTGTTTACCATAAAATAAAATAGAAATCATAGTTTCGAATAATAGAAAGTGATCTTTTGATCCAATTGTTAGTTATATTTTGTTAAATATAATTTTCATAATTCAAATTGTTTATGAAATTATTAATATTAAATGAGAAGGGTAAAATTATAATCAAATTTATAAACTTGAATTTTGTGAGAGTTGTCCGTAATAAAACTTGATAGGAATAGTCATATTAACGCAAAATAGGATTTAACGGTAATTTTTCCCTGTTTGGTTATGTAGTTTTAATGTAACTCAATGAGTTAAACTTTCATTTTTAGATTGTTTCTATATATATGGCTTTTGAATTTTGTTTTGGCCTTCCAATGCATTGTAGGTTTACAAATCTATGTCATTTGATGCAGCACCTATCTGTAGTATTCGTTGTTTTTTCTTGTACCAGAACAATCGACCACCACTAAATTCAAATGTGGGCATGTTTTTTTTAAATGTATATATATCTATGCATATCATTGCAAGCATGTGTATATGTGCCTACGTATGCATCTATACCTATGGTCAATTATAAAGTTGTTCATATGTCATGTATTGGAGAAAAAAGTTAGTGAACGCAAATCACAAACATATATTTGGCATACCATTCAATTATGAATTTACCTCATGAAA